CAGTACTGACTTACCAAGTTCAAGACAATGCCCGTTATAAATTGTGAGAGGCGCGGCGGCTAAGGGGTAGAGCTCCGGGTCCAGGTCCTCCCGGAATCATTGTGTTGTGTTCTTAGGCAAGACACTTTTCTCTCTCAAGCAGTACCTCACTCCATCCAGGTGCATAATTAGATACCGGTGAATGTTTGGTTTAATTAAGCTTAGATCTGATACTGAGACACTTGGCTCGAATGACAGACCAGGGGCAGCAGCAAATCACTTTCTGTTGCGTGTTTGGGAATCCAACGAAAATTTGCTCATTCTTGCTTACTTTTCAAATCCTTCATCACAATTATCTTGTTTGAGATCTTATATCAAAAAAGGGATTAAGTGTCTTGATCAAAACTCTTCTATATTATCGTAAAGAGTACCCGGGTTACCGCCTGTTCCGGGCGAAAAGGGGAATCTCCCCTCGTTTTTCCCCTCGTTTTCCCCGTGTACACGCTTTAACCCGCTCCCCACCATTCGACCTCCGCGCTCCACAGTAACGGAACGCCTAATACAGGCTATATCTAGGCCTTTCCAGATTCTGCTCGGCAACTTTTTACCAACTTTTAGGATTTTGAGCAACTTTTTTGTCAGAGAGCAACTTCTAGCAACTTTTCGGAAAACTAGCACTTTTTTGTTAACTTTCGGGCTTTTGAACCAAAATGCTGAATGACCCCTTTTTTTTTTTAAATAAACAAGTTAAAATTCTAAACATCTTTCTAGTAAAACTCATATTTTTACCCTTTGAATGGGTATCATGCAGACATGGTAATTAATTACAAGAATTGGGTTTGGGTAGCATCAACCTCGTTCCCAGGGCTTTTCCCTTCTCGTGAGGGGCGCCCCCCACGTCACGTGTAAACACAATGGCGGACGCAACGTTGTCTTCCGAAGACGAAGAAATCGAACCCCCCCCCCCCCCCCAAAAAAAAAAACTACCAATTTTGCCTAAATTTTTCCAACCAGCCACTAAAATTCAATTTTTTAAAAGATTCCCTAATTTTTTTTAATAAATTATTTATTTTTACCTTATATTTTATTAAATACAAAATAATATTAAAATTCAAATTTCTGTTACACTCTGCCTCTAACATCTCTATTTGTACCCCTTTTATGGGCTTCACCTCTACATTTGAATTAATTACACAAGTTTGGTTTGGTGCTCCCACACCCCCTTCCCAGGGCTTTTCCCTTCTCGTAAGGGGCGCCCCCCCCGCCTCGTGATAACAAAATAGCGGACCCCATCTTGTCTTCCGAAAACGAAAAAATCGACCCCCCCCCCCCCCACCAAAAAAAAAAACTGTCGATTCTGTCTAACTTTTTCCAACTAGCCACTTAGATTCAATTTTTTTAAAGGTTGCCTAATTTGTTGTAACTAGTTACTTAGTTGTACCTTAATGTTGATTACAAGGCAATTGATATTAAAATCACACATGCTGTCTTAAAAATAATAGAGCAACTTTACAAAATTTTTGAGCAACTTTTTCAATTTTGAGCAACTTTTGAGCAACTTTTTGGCATATTTCTTAGCAACAATTAGCTTTTTCGGAGCAGAATCTGGAAAGGCCTAGCTATATCTTCGTACGCCCAGTTCTTTTCTTGGTGTTTGATAAACCATAGAACACTCTGCTATCTTGTTCCGTAAGTTAATAAAATCAGGGAGGGACTTTCGACACATTATGAATATTACAGAATTCTCACGAACGTAACCTAATTAACTCTAACCTTTACTCCCATTATTGAAAGCTAAAATGTAGCTACTGTTTATTGTTAAGGCCAAAGTGGACATCATTGTAGTTCTCATGCACTTCGGAGAAGAACTTTTTTCAAAAGCTCTCCCGTATCAGCTTCATATAACAAAGCATCTCATGTCCCTTGGCGTGCAAGTCATCATTGGAGCACATCCACACGTGCTTCAGCAACATTGTCTCCATGACAACAAGCTGGTGGCCTACAGTTTGGGGAATTTCTTGTTTCATCCGAGAAGACCAATGAGCGGAGTCAACCCGGTAATACATGACACTAAGGCCAGATAAATGATCACAAAAACTGATCCAGGTCGTCATCTATCTGGCCTTGTCTAATACATCATAAACCTCTCATGGTATGTTAACAGTGACGATATTATCAAATGCAAACACCGAAAACCGGAAACATAAAACTAGGACCGCTTTGTTTGCTTCTCAGATCACAGGGATCGAAAACAATCTGTATGTGTAACCGATTGTTTACATTTTATAGTAAATGTACTGGATTTACCGTTTGCTTCACCTACAGCGATATATATAAATCACTGTTTTCCGCAGGCTAATTTTATCCTGGTAATGAAGAGGAAAGCCGGTATATTTAAGGTCGTGTGATACGTTTTAAAGGACCTTCCTCTTAATTATGCCAAAGAGGTAAATTTATTTAATTCATTTCAGTGATTCTGTGACAATTAGCAAATGGAATAAGCAGACATGGAATTAGAATGAGGCACATGAAGCGTTTTCCTTATGAGCTAACGATTACCTTTATCCTTTGCATTTATTTATTTATTTATTTATTTATTTATTTATTTATTTATTTATTTATTTATTTACAGGGTGTGTATGGACGATTTGGCAAGAAACCTGATGAAAAATTAATAGATGCTTACGAGCAATTTGTTCTTGGAAACTGTGACAACTTGAAGATGAGTCGAATTCTTAAAGTTACCTTGTCTAGGTAGGAGGAAGAACTGAAATCCGTAATGTACGATAGTTTTTAAACCAGCTCTTTAGAAATGCTATTTGGGCCATGGATAATCCATTATCTTTTTTACCTTAGTTTTATTACACGATATACGCACGCCTAGGTGATGACGAACAATCACGTGTTTATAGTCCCGTTGAAGCTCCCAGTCACGTGATATGCTCGATTTGTTAAATTTTGGGCTACAACATAAGCAATTCCAGAGATGAACAAAACATGAAGAAATTAGCCAGAAATCCTATTTTGAGGCGAATGACACAAAAAATAACATTTTATGAGACAGTCTGCAACAACATGCTGGGAGTTTGTCCGCCAATAATTGGTGGACTGCGCCTTATTTTCCTGAGTTTACTAGATTTCAACTGACATTTGAGTTGTTTTGTTTCTTTCAGAAATGGTGTTTTAGGGGCTTCTTATCTACCTGCAAAAATCGTATTTGACCCTAAAAATAAACGAATTCACCCAGAGCCAATAAAGGACGCCAAATGGATTACAGTTTGTGGAAAGAAGGATAAGCAATGTGTAGACAGTTGCCATGATCCCCCACCAAGAAAAAACCAAACTTAATCTGGCTAACCGTTAATTATCCAATTTGCTGTTAATAGAACAAACATTTTTGTATTTGGTTCTGATGTTGTTCTTTGTGTTCGTATAGGTATCTATATTTTTTCTTCATGTGATGAAAATCCGTCAGAAAAAATTGTTTCCAGTTTTGAATTGCTCACATAGACTTAGTAAAACTTTGAAAATACTTCTTTGCCTAACCTGTGTATACCATACTGAACGGAGAAGGAAACGAGAATGTGAAAGCAGCATAGTTTTAACGAGCATCGAACAAGCAATTTTATCACCCTACTTAGTGTGTAAATTTCTCTGCCTTAAATGCGCAACTACGACATGAAATTTCTTTCTCTGATTTCGCGTTCTATGAGAGGGGGTAAATACAAGAAGACGTTTAATATTATCATTTTTGTGGCGGGTTTGCATAATTATTTCATAAATTATGCGATAATTATGCATACCCGCCACTATGGTATAGCGGGGCAAGGCATTATAAGTACCTTATATTTTGTGAATAAGAGGTCCTGAAAAATTCAATACCAAGAAAGAAAATAAGGTTCAACAGACACCAGTAAGCTGCTTGGGTGGAGAGCTAGATGTTTTGCACATTATAAGATATTTTTCTCTTACCGAGACAGTTTTGCTCTCAATGTTGTTTTCTTTGAGGGAAGGAGGTGGGTTGTTTATTTTATTTTATTTTATTTTGCCTTTCGGCCTTATGTTAACTTTTGGAAACGAAAACAAAAATATATGAATAAAAGATCCGATAGTCAGTTGCTTGTTGAAGCATTTAACAAGAAAAAACTGAACTTAAAAACGTTACTCGACGTTTCGATGTATGTTTTGATTTGTGCTAAGCTTTTCTATTAATAAATCTACATAACAATGAAGTATGCACGAATACAATCTAATTTATTCAAACCTCAGCTCTTTAAACAACTCTGAAACTTAACATTTCTCACTCTTGATAATGATGTGTGATACATCGAAACGTCGAACGTATTAGTTTCATTTTATATTTTGTATGTTCGAGCGAATTCGGAACTTCGTCATTTGCGCGCATGTTTTTCACAAACGTTGCTTTGTCTGAAATGGATTCAATTAATTAGCTGGGTAACAAAATTTCGTTTGTAGTGGCCGCTTACGCCCGGCTTCAGTGCTCTCTCCTGTGGCAGAGGCCTCTTTGTGTCGTAAGAAGGCTGGGGAGAAGGGAAAGAAAGCGCGCAGGGCACGATGGGAAGGGGATAGAGAGGAAGAGAGACGAGGCTCCTGTCTTTTTTCTCTTCCCATCCACACCTGCGCGCTAACTGTGCTATTTTTAGTGGGATACCCAGCGGGAGCCTCGGCGGAGGAGAGACCGGCGCTTTGGTGGGCTTCAGTTCCGGCCAGAAACCAGTCCAATCGTTGCAGTCTTCTTCGGGTGCTTGTTGCTGTTGGTGGTGGTGTTTTGCGGTCTCAAATGAGTCTTTATCTTAACTGAAGCTTGAAAAAAGTGGAGTGTTTTCACATGACGTCACGGCGGCCTGCAGTGGTGTTGATCATGAACTTTTTTCTTATGTACACGCTTTTTTTTGCTCCAATTAATTTGCGTAGATGCTGGCCACTTGATTGCAAACGCTCTACTGAAATACATGTAGTTGTTTTGAAGTTGAAGCGACGTTTTCGATCGGATCAAGCCCCTAAGTATTCGATCTTTGACACTGTGGGTCCTCGTCACTACAAACTTCAATCCAGAGTAAATCATTTTCGGGTTTAATGTACACTTGTTTCTTTGCTGAGTCAAACGCAAGTTTTACTGGCAAATAATCGGCAAATTCCACACCTTTTCTGTAAGAGATAGTCGATACATTAATATAAAATCAGACCAGTCAGGCCAAAGCAAGTGAAACATTATTTTTTATTGCCATGATGGCATCGAAAACACACTCAGCACCTCCAGGGATTCGTCCTTTTTAGTTCGGTTTTGACTGTCATTAGTCAGCAAACACATTAGAGTGGTTTTCGTTTGAGTGTCGTAAAACCAAAACCAAAGTAATTACTCTGGCCAATCACATAGGACACAGACAATACATTGAACCAATCAAAACTCGAAGTAATTACATGTGGCTGACGCAAAGCGCGGGAAAATGCATGCGAGCGCGTCAAAATTGGCTTTGGTTTTACTTCTGATTGGATGAAAAGGTGGCGCGAATCTTTTAAGCCAATCGCATCGTGTAGAAAGTGCAAAACCAATTACTTTTCGACACTCAAATGAAAACCGCTCTATCAGCAAACACATTATCGTGAATCCAGGCCCAGAATATGTAACTAAATAATGGATAATACGTTTTAAATCTAGTTTTTCCAAAAATCACTAACGGGAAAGGACATCTTTTTGTGTTATGAAGAAGGTTTAGATACCGAACTCTAATTACCGAAACAGTGAGTAAACTTAAGCTCAGTTTTGAATTACTTTGAAGTTGGTTCAAAGACTCTTCGCTTAACTAGGGAAGGTTTTCTTCTAGATAATTTTGCCTATACTTGGATCAGTATTAACTATTGGCAGCCTTTATACGCAAGCTTACCTTGAAACTTTCACTCGAAAGAGCTGACTTGTTTTGAAAAATTCACCGTCTCCTAGAGCAAGTTTTTCGTAAATGGCGATTAGATCTTCGTCTGGTTTTGATCCTAATCTACCGTAGATCCTCTGGAAAAGGAACCATCAATCATGATCAGAAATGATCGCATTCCTTCCCCCCTTCTTCCTATAGTTTTCCCAAATTTTTCTGCGCAACTATTTTTTGTTATAAAGCGTCCTTTCCTTAGCCTAACTTCAGTTTAAGCCATTTCATTTACTCTCAAGATCGCGTTGTCATTTGGATGACGTCACAACATAGTTTTTTACACCATATCAGGTTATCTAGGTAAAAAGAATCTATAATAATCTAAAAATACACAAATTAATACTTAAATTTTTAATTGAGAAGTACACCCAGAAAAAAGAGCAAAGTTCAATTATTACGTTTACGCGCGACATTTCATGCATTGTCTCTATTTTATCAAATACACACGTAAAATTGTGCGATAGTAGAAATTCACTTTTAGGGAACTCTTAAAATAAAAGGATACATTACCGGATCATTACCACCAAGAACACGAGCAGGAGGAAAGAAGAAGTTGCCCAAACCGAACTTTACCAGCCTGTTGCCATGGATACTATGTGGCTGAATCACGTGGGAGTGTGAGCCAATGATTAAGTGTACTCCCAGGGACAGCAGATGATCAGTCACTTGAAGCTGGTATGGAACTGGTTTCAAGAATAGTTCTCTACCCCAGTGAATATAGACAACCACGATGTCGACCTTGCTCTGCAAATGTTTTAAAGGTAAGAAGGTAAAGCCCCCATCCGGTTTTTGATGTATATGTGCCAGAGGTTTAAAATCATTTGTGAGATCTTTAAGGTACCTTTAATCTGTTTACATCTCTTTCCGCAATATCCTTGCTGTAAATAGCAGGACCCGCGTTAAACTTCATCCGCATCTCAGAACAGTTCTGTATCCTTTTTGGCGTCATGTGGTGACAATAACCCAGAAATCCAGTCTTCAGTGCTTTCTTCTCTATAATAAGAGGAACCTAAAAAAGAGATCAGAATGATTATTACCAATGCGACAAGACCAAGCAGAAGAAACGTCCACGTTCTATCCCATTATATCACTAGTCTTCAAGAGCAAAACTTGCATTCACACTACCCTCAGTAAAAGAAAAGAGTGGGCCATTTCTAAATTGGAAGCAGCTTCTTATCTTTGTTGATGCGATTCCTGTTGCTTTTTCCTGAGCCTTTCTATGGGTATCTGCTAGCTGCGGACGTAGTTTTCTAACGCGTTTTCCACTAAATCATCGGTTTTCAACAAAAACGCGTATCAAGAATTGTTTTGCGAGGTAACGCTGCTACTTTGACGACGAGAAAAGAAACCAACAGCTCATAAGAAAAACACAAACTTAGATCCTGCAGCACTTTTTTTGTACAACTTTCCTCGTAAAACTTGATCACCGCCGGAATGGCAGTGCGATAAGACCACGGTCAGTTTTTTCGGCGATCGTCGCGACTTCGATCAGTCTTCGGAAATACCCATAGAGTCTCATTCCTTCATAATGAAACTACATTCTTTTTTACACGCATATTTTCTTAAGGGAAAGCTTTCATATTCCACACACTATACAGACTATTTGCTCACTAGCAAGATACTAATCTCTACCCAGATCTTCCAAGGCAACGCGAAAGGGAGATTTCAGTTTTCAGCGTAAGACAGAGTGAGATCTGGGGACGAGATCAGGAAGATACCTGTGAAGAGTTGAAAGGTCCATAGGTCGCTCCAAAATAATCTATTCCCGCGCTTTTAAGAACATTAACAGTAAAGTTGGCTCCTACGCCTCCAAAATCGTTAAAATGGTTATTTGCCACACTGACAGCATTGAATCCTGCAAATCTACTCAAAAAGAATACAAGTAAACAAAACGGCCATACGTTTGGTTCACAAAAAGGCAACCAGCCCTATCTAGTTGCCAGTAATGAGAATCCCCGTTAGCCTGCGTAGCAGGCGCGTGGAAGTACTGCAATATGGGCGCACTAGAAAGAACTGAGCATGCGGACACCCCTCGCGTGTCTCCATCGCGCAGCTCGTTCGCTCTCGATGCAATAAGTTCCAAGTGCCCGCTACTTTTCTTGTTAAACCACTGTAAACACTGAAAGGCCATCCTTAAACTGGACGCTTTTTTCTTCGCCCTCCGAGAGTGGCCATTTTAAAGAGTTTCTACCTTACTTCTTTTACGCCTTTTTTCGCAGTTTTATTTTATTTCACGAGAGGACGTTTCAGGATGTTTTTAAAAACATGATAGGAAGAACCAGTGTAATTGCTTTTCAGTGAAATGCTCCAGAAGATTTTAAAGGGTGCGCATCCCAGAGAGCCAAAATATAAAGCTCTTATTTATGACCTCCTAACAGATACAACGGGAAACCACGTCAACCTGATCTGGCCGGTAGAATCCCCCCCCCCCCCCCCCCCCCAACCCCCCTTTATAAAGAGACGCATTTTGCGGGCGGCGCCCGTGTTTGCCATAATGTGGAAAAATAACTCCTCCTTTTCCCTCCCGCGCCCTGTTTTTTTTTTTTTGTTTTATGCGTGTTCTGTCGTCTTTTTGTGGATTTTTCTACCAAAAAACAATTCACTCATTTTTATATCTCTGTTCTGATAAATACAATGTGTTATATATAAAGTGGGAGCCAACAAGACAAAAAATAATAAATCTTTTGTTTGACCCCACAAACGCGAACACGCGAACACCCCCCCACACCACCCCCGCCGAAAAACCCCCCCCCCCCCCCCCCCCCCACAACTCCACTTTTGAAAATGTGACTTAGTTGGGCGCGCACCAGTTGTGCAATGATAACTGGGAAATATCTCTCCCTTTTGTCCCCAGCGGTACCTTTTTATTTTTCATTGCATTCAGTCAGTTTTAATTGTATTGGGTACCTTTACTGAAAAAGAGCATCTCCAAAGGGTGCTGGACCAAGCAAGTATTTACCTTAAGGACGAAGCGCTTTGTGGACTGGAATCCAGTACCACTTGTTTTTGGCATTTATGAGAAAACACCGTTGCATTTACTAAAGGAGTCTCCAGATTCGCCACTGAAATGTCTGCGGCTCGAATAAAGGAGGCTACTTCCACGAAACATGTGTTATAAGATTGATGGTTGTGTTCCACATAATACCGCACAGGACCAGAAAACGTAATATCACCGACAAACAATAGAGTGACTTGATCTGTAAAGAGAAAGAACAAAATATGGTACTGATAATAATGATTTCTTGAGCGCTGAATGTCGGTCGAGAGCTATGGTCGATAAGACAACAGACAATAGAAATGACCTGATGGTGGCGCAATTTGTTTTTCTCTTTCTTGCGCGGGCGATTTTCAGAGTAATTTCAACGGGAATGCACAAAAAAACTGTCAATGTTTTTGTAAAAGACAAATCGACAAAAATTTTCCACGGTCTATACGCTTATCAATTATAGCAATGACGTCAAAATGTTCAAAACTTTGCAGTGAAACCACTTGCCTGCGGCTCGAGGTTCCACTTCAGTTTTGAACATTTTGAAGTCATTTCTATGGTCGATAAGAGTGCAGATCATGAAAAATTGTCGATTTAATTTTTTGAGATGA